GAACAGGAGATTTTTTGCTTCTATCTTCAAGGATCTCCTCCACTGACCTGCCTGCACGAACTCCATCCCCTCCATTTTCCCTCCCATCTCAGTTCCTCACCCTCTCACCCTTCAATAGGGATAATCATGTTTATGTATCATTAGGGGTGCTCATTCTTAAGACCAAAGCTCCTTCTAAGCTGATTTTCTTTGTATTGACATCCATCCTTGAGAAGATTCCCACCAACAACCAGCTGAATGCTAGAGGCATGCAAATTGTGAACCTATGCCACCTGTAATGATGATGAGGAAGATTGAATGCTGGAATCTTGAGGAAGAAGAATCAAGAATGGATGAATGGAGTCAATGGCCATATGAGAATATATGATTTTTAGCAAATGGAGATATTGTTACAAAACACAAACTGGAACTTTATGACATATGCTCCAGCTTGAGGGGGAGTGTTAGAATTAGTCGACAAGGGCATCCTTGTCATTTTCTAGTTCTTATTTTCTTTCCTATATCAGTTTTACTTGTCTGGGGCATTGTTGTAATTTCAGCTATTAATGAATAGTAATACATACTGGGTCGACAATGAGAGGAGTGTTAGTTCAACTTCTCCTTGTTGTTCTCCCTTTTCTTCTCTCCTTATCTTCTACCTCTCCTTTACTATTTTCCCTTTTTCTTTTTCTTTCACTTTTCTTATAGTTTTTGAAGTAAGCACAGGCCCAAAAGCTTGGGCTTGACTAGAACTCAAGTTGGGCTTGGGTAGTCCGAGGCAAGACAAACCCAACACAAGCCCGGATGATCTATAATATATTCCATTTATAAATGTACATTGTGCATTTGAAACATAGTTTTCAATGCCTAATCACATAGGCAATGGATTTTTTTTTAATAAAACGATGAACCCTAGGGTAGTTCTCTAGGTTCCATAGAAACTAGCAACCCCTTCTTTCCTTATAATTATCTATAATTTCCACGAAAGTAGTATAAACTTCATACTGATGTATAGAAAACTAACATATTCATGAGAAGAAAGGAAGAAAGAAACGAAAATTTAGAAAATATAGGGGTTGAACCCCTGTTTTGTCCTAGGAAAAGAAGAAAAGAAAAGGTGGAATAAGAAGACGGATGTGTTGATTGGACAGAATTTTAAGTTCTTCCATACTTATTGCTTGAGGTATTGAAGTCTTTGAGGGTTCAAGACAGCATACAATGATATGTGTGTTGATTACTCTAACAAATTAGAAAATAATTAAAAAACTAGTATATAAACATACAAAATGAATATTTTAGTTTAATAATGAGACGACCCTCCATGGGTGCCTTGTTGCTTAGGCGTTGCCTTGACAACTATGATTTCAAATGCATATATTCATACACCATACTTTGAGAGTATATTTACAATATGTATATGATCAACCCAAGTCCATTGTCATTCACAAACATGTCATACACATAATGTTATGCATGTAACTATGCATTTTCTTTTATTCTATATCTAAGTAGGGCATAAAACCCAAATGAAAGGTAAAACTGCAAAACATGAGCAAGAAAGCTATAACCGACCTACTTGCCTATGCCCACTCAAGTTTGAGTTATTTTGAGGTTACCAGGTTGGGCTTGGGCTGGACAACTCAGGTTTTGACCTTAGGTTGGGATGGACACAGTCCCAAGGTCCAGGTCTCAAGGTTGGACCTGGGCTGGTCTAAAACCTGATTCCTGACTTGCACCACTAATTCCATTATTCCCATCTCAAAATCAATGTCAGTTAGCAAAGTTACTAAAATTGGCAATTGAATTCTTGGAAACATTATACAAGGTTTCTTTATTAAATATGGTTTGGAGTGGATGATGGACTAAAGAAAATATAGTTTTCAATGATGACTTTCCTATTGCAAATAGTTACTAGGTCATTGCCTCATTGGGCATTCTTATTCAGGCATCAAATGAAAGTCAATGAGGCATCTAAACTAAGGCTCCCACCTCTCAAGCCTGCTTAAAAGATTTATGCATCTTTGTAAATTGCAATCATCTTGCAAAAAACTACATAAAGGAGGAAACAACGGGGATCATTAAAGGAACATGGGTGATAAGCAAACAATAGATGAATTATAGAGAACAGTAACAATAACAAGTAATTAATGTTAGAAAATGACCAATCCTGGAGTCAACTTACCACTTTCTTCCTTTGCGCATCATGAACATGCTGTTCAATTGCTGAAGCATTTTCCTTGAGCTGCAATGATCTCTCATTCTTTCTAGCACCTGAATGAATTGTTTGGGACAGAGGATGTGGATTGGGTTCTTCTCCATATCCATCACCATGCTGTAACAGGTCAGAAGATTCTAACTCATCTTTCTTTTGAACTTCCATCTCATTCTCACTCGTCTCTTGTATCTCCAGTTGGGGGCTGAACTGTTGCTCAGGTGTCTCCAATTTCACTTCATCTCCTTGTTCTTCAATATCAGCATCTGCCTCAGGTTCAGCTGAATTCTCCAAATTTGATGATGTATCCTCACTGTAAGGATTTTCCACGGGGGAGGCTCCCTGTAAAAGAAATGCCAAAGAAATAGAAAATATAGTATCTAATGATGGAACCTTTACACAAAACTCAACTAAAATTATCAACAAAATAAGTATGTTAAATGTTTAATTAGATGGCTCAATGGGTAAAGACAATGGACCTCTTCTCATCCTTCTCAACAGATGACATCACCAGAAAGTGAAGTGGCAAGCACTCCTCTAAAAAAAACAAGTCTTTAGAAGTTGGATGCCACCTGATAGAGGGTCCTTAAAACTCGACTTTGATGGAAGTAGTAGGGGTAAGCCGGGGAACTCAGGGGTGGGGGGAACCTTTAGAAACAAAGGCAGTAATATTGTTGCTTGGTTTTCAGGTCCAATTGCTGTGGGAGTTCATTAAAGGTTGAAGTAATGGATGTAATGGAAGGTGTGCAAAGGGAAAAAGAGATGAAAGTGGAAAAGTTGATTAGTTTAGGAGACTCATAGCTGGTAGTTGGGTGGCTGCAGAAGGGAGAGGCTGGTTTGTGGTGTTATAGGAATGGAGAAAAAAGGTTCAGGTGGTTGACTAGAAATATGGAGGTGAAGGTCTTACGGATTCCAAGGGAGGCTAACAGATTGGCAGATGCTTTAACAAAGGAGAAAGGGAACATATGTTTTGGACACAATTGTAAGAAAAGGTTACAATTTTAACTTCTTCACATTACATTAATAAGATTTGATTGTTATTGATCAAAAAAAGAAAAAAAAATTAATATCCTGATGCTAACAGATGCTAAAGTCAAGCTTAAGCATGAAAATCATTTTGATTTGAATGTAACTCCAAAGCTGTTATTCTTTAATGGCTGCATTTGGTTCATGAATTGGGATGGGGATGGGGATTGGTATTG